CCAGACAGCTCAGTGAGAACCCAGCCTGCAGAAGCAGGCTGACCCGAGGTTCCCAGGGCTCCAGCCGGGTGTCTCTCCTGGACCTGTCTGCACCTTCTCCTTGCTCAGGACTGTTTTCTTCCCTGAGAAAGGGTGGAGCCCATCCAAGACTAGGGGGTGTGCTGGGGGACTTGAGGCCTACATTGGAGGAGCTGGGTGCCTCTCCACTTGGGAGGTGGGTCAAGGGAAGGCAGCTTCGCCAAGAGGACCTCATGTGGAGCACCTAGTGGGGACTTGGGCAGGGGTGCCAACGAGCATGCTGGGGGCTTCTGTGCTTTTGATGCAACGGCTCTGTACTTAGGGTTAGAAGAGGACAGAGGCGAGGTACAGGGTGGGTACAGCATCTGGAGTGTCTGCCTGCTGCCCAGCACCTCATCTCCACTTGCAGAAGCTGCTCACATCAAGCCTTTCTCCATAGTGGCAGGCAGCATTAGGGCTGGGTGGGCCTCCACCCCCACAGTGTGGGCTCCGAGGGCTGCCCACATGGCAATGCTGAAGCTCTCCATTTGCCAAGGCAGAGGGGGCATGGCCTGCAATGTCAGGGAGGCTCCTGGACCTTGCTGAGGGCTCTCCGCATCCTCTAGACTCAGACAGCTCTTTCTGCTCGGGAAACTGTGTGCCAGGCAGATAGTGGGGGAGGTGGGATGAATGCAAGGAAGAAGAGTGGGGTTAGAACGTCCTGGGAGAACCAGTGGCCCACAATGCTTTTGGTGGGGACATGGGTGGGTACTGGGGATCAAACTGGCCAGTAGGTGCTTGTGCAGCTGAGCTATACTCCCAGCTTGCCCACAACTCTTACTTCAGCTTTTAACCAATAGCTTCCAGGAGGGGACATAAGTTATTTTCTGGGTATGCTTGTGGGAAAAGGGGAATGTTTTGCAAAGGAAAGAAGGGGCTCTGTGTCTTACGTAGCAGATGCGAGGCAGGCTGAGCATAGTCACCAGATCCAGATCCACAGGAAGGGAGAGAGTTGTGGGAGACACTGCCTGAGGGTTTGGTAGTCTAAGCTGAAGGCGTGTGCCAGCAGCCCCGAGCCCACAAACTACCTCCTCGGGCCCAGGTCCCGGGGAATCCAGAGAAATATGCTGCGGTGCCCATGTTGTCCAGAGCCTAGGCTGGACTGTGCGGAGGATAGCTGTGACCCTTCTTCCAACTCTGTTCTGTGGTGGGCCTTTCTTGATGGCTGTTTGTGAAACAGAGATGACAGGAACAATTCTGCTACATCCTGGGTCTTTCCTTTTCATCTGACAAAATTGGACATCTGTGTGTCCTCCAGTCTACTCAGAGACAGACATAATAAAATAAGTTTAAATATTACAGGGAAAACACAAAGATGCTTGGAATAAATGTGCATTTAAAACCCTGACTAAAATAGCAACAGGATGATAATAATCGTAATTACAATGGCAATGACAAAAATAAAATAATAAGCATGATAATATTAACATTATGAGCAGCATGGAACTTTCATTCCTGTCTGGGAGGAGAAAAGGAAAGAAAATTTCAGGAGAAAGAGTAAGAAGCTTCCACTTAAGGAGAGAAAAGGAATTAAGAACCTTTAGGTCATCTTTACCCTAAGAGACCAGATCTGCAGAGGACTGGAACTGCACGGTGCTGAAGGCCAGTGCCTGCCTGCCTGTCCAGGACGGCAAAGTGAGGCTGCCAAGGCCGTGCCCTGTGACTCAGTACAAGAAGATGCCATGGAACGCTGCTGCCACCTGGCTGCTCATAGGCCGGCGGCAGCCGGGCGCTTCGAGCAGTGACTCCGGGAGGGCTCCCTCGAGCTCTCTGAGCTGCCTGGCTTCCTGCCCTCAGGCCGGGTATCACCCCACCTCCAGCAGATGTGGGCACTGACGATGGCGAGAGGGGGATGTCTCCCTGCTGCAGGGTGCCGCCACACTGCCTCTCATCCCCGGGGCACTGCCAGCATGTGCCCAGCTTTATGCAGGTTGTGACGTCTTTCCTTTTGGCCAAGGCCTGCCCTAAGCCACTTCCAGTTTGGGGACTTGTTTCTTTGTAAGGTAAGTAAGAATTCCAGGTTGGGATGGGGATGTTTCCAGAGTTCTTTCACAGCTAAGAGCTAAGTCACAGCTTTGCTACTGAAGACAGTAGACGTGGCTGTGAAAACCCTTTCACAGTATATTGTTCAGGGCCTGCGAGGGAGGAGGTAAACAGGAGGACAGGCTGCTGACCGGAAGGTCCCTGTGCATTAGGAACTTGGCTGAGGGTAGGTGAAGGACTCCACATCAGGGCAAAACAATCAGAACCATCCTTTTAAGCTCAACCTTACCTAGAAAGCTTCTCTAGTTCCCAGCTTCAGAAATACCCACCCTGAGCGCAGGAACCACTCTCCACCTCCCACACTGCCTGAGAAGATTTCCAGGTATCAGAGGCACAACAGGGCACAGAGCAGACTTTGGCGACTTCACTTCTATGAGTGTCCCCCAAGTACAAAGGAGGCACCACCGTCACCCTTACCAGCAGCTCAAGGCTTCTGCCCACCAGACCTGTCAAATATCAAACGCCAAACTGTGTCTCGGGCAGATTCAGGCAATGTGAGGAAATAATTCAATAGGAACAGGTCAGTGGTTGTCTACAGAGGAAGCCTTCTCCATGGCACAGTGTGAGAGAAAAGCGCGGTGTGGATCTGAGCACAACAGACTCCTTCTTGTGGGAGGGAGGTGCTGGGGCCACTGGGGACAGACACCTGGCCTCCAGAGCTCCACAGATGGCCACATGAAGCCGCTGCCTGTCAAAGCCAACCAATACCCGAAACCCTGGGTCTCCCATACGGTACAACTTGGCCATGGATGGGTGAGGGTGAAGGGTGGGCACCTCTCTGGGTTTCTGCCCCCAAAGGAAAATTCAATAGAAACCATTTCTGTCATCAGAGCTGTCTGCCACCACCTGGCTCCTACACAGCTCTCAAGATCCTTGAATTCTCGCCCCACAGTCCTGCCAGCTTCCCTGGCATCTTGCTCACAAATAGTCCAAGAAAACAATGGCATGAAACGGAGAGAAAAAAACAACAAAAAGGAAAGACCCAAGTAAAATGTTACCACAGCGCAACAGAAGAGCGAGGCGGCTGCTGACAAGCTTGGCCCGCTGCTGTGTACCAGTGGAAGGAAATCCTCACATGCTGACAGTCATTCGGTAAGGCACTAGGAGGGATGGTGTAAAATCAAGACGGAGGGCCATGGCGGCGGGGCCGAGGGACCCAGGGGAGGCGGCACCGCGCACAACCACTCGCGCACACTCGCTTGCTCACCTGACCACCACATTGGTTACACGCCTACGCTATCCCAATTTTTGTGCAATTACATAGGAAGAGTCTATTGGTATCACTGGAGATGGACACAGGTAGAAAACAAGGTCGAGGGCTACATTCTACTAGGGTGTCGGCGACAGCCACTAGCCCTATGCTATGTGGCTAGGAGTTGATTCAAAGAGAAAAGAAAAAAAAAAAAAAGAAAAAGAAAAACCAACCAAAGTCTGCAACACACATTATTAATGACATCTGAGGAATAACATTGCTTAGGGATTTGTCCAGAGTACTCAAAAGGGAAAACCAGTTCCTCTCAGGGGTCCCCTGTTAGCCTGGCTGCTCCCCACTGCGCCTGACAAATGCACCACAACTGGGCTCCCCCAGACCAAACCCTGCCCCTCAGCCCCTGAATTCAGCCACGGCCTGACACCCTGGAAGGATGCTGACACTTTTGAGTTCTGGAAAAATCCCTAATTCTTTTGTTCAATTCATTAAAAATCTATTGGACTTCCCATCAGGTGTCCCTGACAGCAGCTTCTTCAGTGTCATTTGCTGCCATATGAAAATAATCTTTGAAAAGTTCATAGACAAAGTTCTTCAAAAACTGGGGCCCCTTTCTCCCGGGATCTTCCTGTGGCTCTCTTCTCCTTTCCAGTTTGGTGTGGAATGGGTTCATGAGCTGTTTTTCTTTTTTTTTTTCTTTTTTCTTTTTCTTTTTTAAAATAAAAAGCATAGATTTCCCTCCTCAGTCCCTTCCTTCTAAAATGTTCTCTGCTCTAAGCCCTCCTTCCTGGTTCAAGTTTCTCTGTCCCGCCCCGCCCTCCCGCCCGGTTGCATTGCTGTGTGCGCACCTCCTCCCGCCCCTCCAGTGTTTATATGTAAGGGTACTGGTTGACCTTGGCGGGGCTCAGTGGGTATCCAGTGTAGACGGTGGAGGCTGGCGAGGCGCTGATGTAGGTCTGGTGGGCAAACTGGGCTGGATACTGACTCGGGTGGATGGTGGGTGAGGGCAGTACCCGGGGGCCCATGCTCACGGGGACCTGGTGGACGATGCTGGCCGGGTAGGCAGTGTGCTGCACGGTGTGGCGCGCCGAGCCTTGCGAGGCCACCAGATGGGCCACAGTGCCGGTGGAGCCCAGGGCGGCAGGTGCCGTGTAGGTGTAGAGGTGCGGCTGTGTGGGCAGGTGGGCGGCGGCAGCCAGGTGAGGGTGGACGGTGCCGTGACTGGGGCTGTTGTGGGGGAAGGAGTATGGGGCCTGGGCCATGGTGGGAGTGATGTAGGCCTGCTGCCGCCGGTGGCTCCCGGTGCGGTCCGCAGCCATGTGCTGCTGAGCCTGCGGAGGACAAGCGGGAGAGGTGCTGTGTTAAGGGCCAGCCACTCAGGGAGCACAGGGAGGGGAGGAGCGACAGAGGCTTCCCCTTCAGTGCAGGTGCCTGCATGCTCTGCCTTGGTCTGGCACCTCCCTCCTTCTGGGACAAGGGACAGGCTGCCCTTGCTGGGCAGAGACGGCAGTGCCAGGCCCTCGATGCGTAAGCCTGGGACCCGGTGCCACCTCCCCGAGAATGATCCAGGAGAAAGGAGCCACCGAGTCTCTCTGCTCTGGGACCTTCCTGATACAGCCTAGAGGTGGGTGAGGATCTTGGCCCTCAGTGCAGCTGAAGAAGAGGGGGCTGAAGCCAAGGGGGTTGGGCTTACCTGGCTGAGATTGAGGGGCTGCTGCTGCTGGAAATGGGGGCCTGGCCGTTGCTGCCGGTAGGCGATGGCCCCCGACGAGCTCCCTGAAGAGTGACCGCTGGTGGAGGTCACGTTGCTGGAGGACTTGGGCTTGTACGAGGATGAGTGGTGACTGGTGGTGACTGTGGAGGAAGAGGAACAGATGACACATCAGTGGCTGATTCTCAGTACTGGGAAGATGCTCCTTTGCAGGTGACAGTGGCCTTCTGGGAAGGACATGTTCCCAAGACTGGACAGGCTGCCTCTGGACCCCGCTGGGATCTCGCTTGGACTCTAGACCAGCAGTAGGTACTGCTCACTCCTTCAGTTGGGGAATGGTGGTATGTTGGGGCTGTGGATGCAGGGACTGAAGCACAAGCAAAGGGACAGGTACAGGTACAGGGGAGGCGAGGCAAGCCAGAGCCCCATCAGGCCTCACAGGGGTCCTCCTGGGAGATGGCTAGAGGAGTCCTTGCTGGGTCCCCTCACAGGCAGTTATGAGGAAAAGGTGTGACTGTGCCTTCAGTGGTATCTACAGAGCAATCAGAACAAATAGCAGCAGTGAGAGTGGTCCTGTGGGTGGCACTGGCCGGGTCCTCTCCTGGGCAGGCACAGTTGGCTAAACATTATGCCTGTCTCCTCCACGCTACTGACAAGGAGGCTGCCCAGGCTCAGCAACTGCCAGCCCCACCGTGGGCAGCTGGGGGCTGGATGAGGAGGTGGATGCCAGGTGCCCAGCCACACAGCAGCCAAGGAGCCCTTAAAGAGCTGGTTGGCTTCTGTTTTATCTTCAGTACTGAGAGTTGAACCCTGACCCTTCACACTGAGCTACACCCTCAGTCCTTTTCTTAATTTTTTGAGACAGGGTCTTGCTAAGTTCCCTAGGCTGGACTAGAATCCACAATCCTTCTGCCTTTGTTCCTAGAATGCACGGGTCAGATGTGATCACATGTGGTGAGCTGGTGGCCTTACTCCACACAGTAACTTCTGAGCTCCTGCTGTGCCAGGCACTGGTGGTATGTGCCACCTGGGACAGAACAGGTGAATGGGAATAAAGAGGAGCATCACAGTCCGCATGGTTGAAAGCCCGAGGCAGCAGGATAAGCTGGTGAAGGTGCTGGTGGGAGGCTTGAGTGGGACCCGAAGTCCAGGAGTACAGGGGCTGGTGTGGAGCCCTCGCCCGGGTCTGAGAAAGCCCTGCTGGGGGTGGTCGGTGCTCATCTGGGCTTTCAGCAGGGGTAGGGCACAGCCAGGTAGGTGGGGCAACCAGGTGGGTGGGACCATCGCTATCTTGCCAGTCCCCAAGGCTCCTACATCTCAGTTCTTCCACTAGAGGGGTGGCCTGGCACTTCAAAGCTCTCAATAAATACCTGAGTGGAACCCCCCAAAATGCACTAAGTAGCATGGGCCAGAGACCCTTCATTTAATAAAAACACAGCACCCCAATAGCAAGAGCAACAAGCAGACACACACGGATGAGCAAAAACTGAGTTTCTTTAGGTGCAGGGCTACACAGGAACCTAGGCAGGGAGCCCAGGACGGAGAAGGTTTCAGATGTCTTCTGTGCACTGTGGCTTGGAAGCCAGCAGAGGCAGAAAAGGCCCGCAGGCTTGTGTGCTTTAGAAACCACATCGCCACAGATGGCTTCCATGCCTTATAGGAAGGGGAACCGAGAAGAAGCCTCTGAGGTAGGACGGGCGGGCGGACCCCACAGGCAAGGCAGGAAGGAGAGCCAGGATGGGCACGAGCCCCGCTGGGGCCTGGCTGGGGGCGGCTGGCTGCCCAGGGACCCTTGTCCCTGCCGGGTGAGGCAGGTGCACGGGCAAAGGACACACCGATTCTAGTGGAAGAATAGGACTGAAGGAGGCTTTGCCTAAGGGAAGAGGCATGCGTTAAGAGAGAAAGGTACCGAGTTCCCTCGCTTACCCTGGCCCATGTTTACCTGAGCACCTCCAGTGTCTTATTTTATGGCCAGTGACTTGGTTTTCTCCATTAGGTTTGTGGAATGTGACTAAAATACAGGGTTATGTCTCATGCTGTTTGTCAGCAAAAATTCAGGATGCTTATATTAGGCCTCCAGAGCTTGGGCACAAATAAGGGCCTATCACTGTTCTCAGTGAGGTATCCCATAGCGGCTGGCATAAAACTATTGATTCTGGTTATTTTGGGGGTAGACAGTGCTAAACATAATGAACTGTACACAGGATCAGACTCAGGCTCTTGACTGAATTGAGTTGGATCAATTTATGACAAGCCACAAGGTGATGAAATTAAAGTCAAAGATGAACAGGGTACGTCAGTGGGGATGCTGAGTAACTGCTGATGAAGACAGAAGTGTGCCTCCGAAGGCCTCGGCCTTGGGATCTTTTTTTTTTTTTTTGGCAGAACCAGGGATTGAACTCAGGCCCTTGCGCTTGCCAGGCAAACGCTTATTCTACTGAGCTATCTCCCCGGCCCCCAAATTCATTCATTCATTCATTCTTTCTTTCTTTCTTTCTTTCTTTCTTTCTTTCTTTCTTTCTTTCTTTCTTTTTGTATTTTAGGGAAGGGTCTACAGGGTGTTCAGGGTCTCACTACTAGATTGGACTCATTGTGATCCATCTGTTTACACCTCCCAAGAGCTGGGATTTCAGGCGCACACCACCACGCCCAGCCTCAATCACTGTCTCAGTGTGCCCCGGGGGAGGGTCAGCACAGCAGGCAGGCCCAGGATTGAACCTCTGAATATTTAATCCACTGAGCTACGTGTTGGCCCCAGGAGGAAGGCAAAGGTAACAACAGGAAACCCAGCCACAGAATAATGACATAAATGGAAGCAGAGGGTTCCGGCTCCCCATCAGACCTGCTCCAGTAAAGGGTGCGCTGCTCCGCCACGGAGGGAGGCAGCTACTAGAGGCCCCGAATAGGGCTGTGCAGTGGCAACCCTGCACCCCACCTACTGCTGCAGGAGAGTGCTTTCACAGGGCGCTGGAACTTGGTATGTTAAGCTTCCTGGGAACCCAGAGCCAACCTGGCCATGGCAGAGCAACCCTGTGCTCCGGAATCAGGGCACAGAGACCCAGTACTGTGCTCATAGCAACCCAGTTAGGCTCCTAAGGGCCCCCAAAACCTGGGGGTAGGAGGGCTCCTTGTGAACCCACTGTGGGTCAAAAACGAGAAATCTGAGCATGCGGGCTCTCACCAGAGCCTGTTTCATCCCTCCCTCAGCAGCTGAGTGCTGCCGGGTTTGAGCTGCGCACTCTCCTGCTCTGTAGCCGTGAAAGGAGCGTGATGTCTAGCCCAGCCTTGGAGCCCCTCTCTGCACTTACTCTACCCTTGGGGCATTTCATGATCACTTGTGTGAGGGAGGGACAAGGAGCTCGGGGGTTTCAGCCTGGGGCTGTGAAAGATACCGTTAGATGGAGCCTGGCATTCCCTGCTTCCTGTCACTGTGGGCCAGGAGACTGGAGCTAGGTCACAGCTTGGCAGGCAGTAGGACAGGAGGGGCCTTGAGGGACAGTCACCTAGCAATTTCTCCCACAGGGCTAGACAAAGTGCCCACAGTCGATGCTGGGGTTGGCTTTTTGCATGGATTCATGGGCTAGAAAGGAGCATACTGCTCACACATGGCCCGGCCAGTCTGGGAATAGCTACTCTTTCAAGGCCTGCCTGTGCCGGGTAGGGAGAGCACTCAGCATGAGAGTCCAGTCACAGGGCCCTGGGCCAGCTGGGCCATCCTCTCTGCACCTGCTTTGTTTTTCACCCACAAAACTGGGGAAACAGTAGTAGCTACATGTAAGTTGCAATGGGTTTCCACACGCAGACCCTAGTAGCTGCTGCTCAGCAGGAAGTGCATGGGCTCAAGCACTCAGACCTGCTCACACACAGGGAGCGGGTATGTTCTGGGCTCGGAGGATGAGCGCCAGGCCCTGCTGCAGGGAACCAGGATCTCTGAGGGCGAGAAGGCAGCTTTGAGCGCACGAGTCTGGCCTTGAGCAGACTGCTGGACTTTCCCTCAGCCTTACACCCTTCTAACAAATTCTTGAGCCAGTCTGGTTTGTTCTGTTACCTTCCAGAAGAACTTCGGCTCACCCTAGAGGACCTGGGAGCCACAGAGGGACCAGTCTGTGCGACAACTGGCGTCCACCCTGACCTCAGCGAGATGGGCAGCCTCTGGCTCCTGGGTGCTGGGGCTCTGGGAGGATGGGCTGACTGGTGGCCTAGATGGGCCTCTGGGCAGCAGAAGCTGGAGGGCTCTCTCCTGGCTTCCCAGGCTAGGCTGATGGCACTGAGGGGTGCTGAGGCTGTGGGGGGCCACCCCGTCTGCCATCCCACCCATAGAGCACAGCGGCACTTCCCACATCTGAGCGAGCTCTGAGTGCAGCCCCTGGCTTTCCACACACAGCACCTGGGGAGCTGCACAGGGCTCTGGCATACAACACAACAGAAATCAGGTCTTGGGAAATGAATCATCTTAAAACTGTGTGCTGGCTTTAAGTAGCCTGGGGGATATCTAGGCCAGTGCTCTACAGAGTTCTGTGTTTTGCAGTGAATCACCTGGCATGCCTCACAGGACTGTTTGGTGACCATGACAGGATGCTGCTTCCCGGCAGGGTTTTGGATAGAGACGTTCCCAAGGTCTGAAGGAAGACAGCTTTGCTTCTGTTTCCTCAGAGGTGCTGAGCTGGGGCTCCAGCCTGGCTGGCCCTGTCAGTCAGATGTATGTCCTGGCTCTGTCATAGGCCCATTTCTACCACAGGTAAGGCCTCCTCCTTGAGGATCTGCTGATCCCAAGAGACACCAGGTGGGATTCTTATGGTGTGGAGTGACTTGGCTGCCCACACTACTTTTCAGCCAGGGCACCATGGGCCCCAGGCAGGACCGCCTGTGCACTGTGCCCCCCCCAGCATAGAACTCTGAACCCTGGACTCTGAAGTCCAGGCTGCCCAGAACCTGCGCTGTTGCCACATACTCTGAGGGAAAGGCCAGGCCAGGGTGGAGACATGGAGCAGCTTCCGCAGGGTGCTGGGCTGGCTGTGTTTAGTAAGAATTTCTTCTAGGAAAGGGAGGAGGCTACCTACAGAGTTAGGGCAAGAGCTCTGACAGGAGGGCCACCTGGCTGCCACCTTGCTGCTCTGGGTTAGGACGGGATGCTGACTGAGGGAGAAAGAAGCCTGAGGCGCCTTCTATTTCCCCTTTAAGTGGAGTCTCTTGGTGCCAAAAGGGCAGTGTCATAGGTGTTGTTCTAGGCTCGAGGTCCCTACAGATGCCATCCTAGGTCTTACTGTGCACACTGGGGCAGCAGTGGAGTAGCCAACCCCTGGCCTGCCACATGCTGACCACTCAGGAAGATCTTATTTCCTCACCAACTTCTGGTGACGCAGTGGTCTCACACTTGTCCATACGGGAGCAACTTCTCTCCCTAGACAATCTTAGCACGGTGTGTGCCTCCCCTCGGAACAGTGCCACCGTCAAGGGGCTGCTGGGTTGCAGCTGTGACAGCATGTGGCAGAGAAACACAGCATGCAGGATTTTCTGGGTCAGTCTCCAAATCTGTCCACTGTGAGTACAGGCAAGGGAAACACTGAAGAGATGCTACTCAATAAACCCAACGCATGCTGGGTGTGGTGACTTGCCTGTACTCTCAGCCTTTGTGAGGCTGAAGCAGGAGGACTGCTGGGACTTGGAGACCAGCCTGGACTCCATACTGAGTTCAGGTCTAGATATACTACATGTGAGTCCCCATCTCAACAAACAAAAATCCCACAAAACTTCTACTTTGGCTACTGAACAAAGTGCTACGTAAGGACCATCTGTAATAACTGGGCACTTTCTATTTGCCTGATCCTCACATTTTAGTAGCAGAGAAAAGCAGTCTCAGGAGAGATGTTCCCCCCATTACCTGGCCCCAGGCTGTCACACTCCACCAGTACTTCGCTGGCCTGGGTTTTCAGGGGGGGCACGATGATGGTTCGAGGGTTGCCAGGGCAATGGTTCTCCAGGCCCCCCTTGGTGTCAAAGGTGTTGGTGGTGTTGTGCCCAGTGCGCTGCTGCACAGAGTAGGGGCTGGTGTTGCTGGAGGAGTCGGAGTATGGAGAGTCGTGGACTGTGACACAGCTGATGACGTTTTTCCTTTGCTTGGAGACAGTGCTGTGAAGGTAGAGGGAGAAGCCAGACTGGTGAGAAAGCAATTTCAGAGTTCATGTGTGAAAAGCCCTGGGGCTGGTGAGGGAGGTTGGGCTCGCAAATGCCACTGTCTAAGCAGTGCCAGGGGTGCATGGGACAGGAGGAAGGCACTGGCGCTCCTTGGTGTTTCTGCAAGGTGGGGAGCGCCTGGGCAGGCCTGGACTCTCCCTGTGTGGCACACTCAAGCTACATGGCACCCTGCTCTGGGCCACTGGAAGGGGACACAGCCTTGTTAGAAGAACTCTTTTAGGAGAACACTGATTTTAGAAGGTCATAAGCTTAGGCCGGGGCTGTGCAGACAGGGAAAGCTTAAGCAGGAAGGCATGGGATGTCCAACAAACCAGGTCATAGCTGGAAGGATGGGCAACAGGAGAGGCTCTGACATCCTCTGCCAGCTCTCTGCGCTGTGTGCAGGACACCCAGGACCTCTGACCCTTTGGAAGGCTGGCTTTGCCCTCCTGGGGCTTGCCTGGCACCTGGGCCCAGACCAGCACTTCCTCAGCGCCTGCTGGAAAGAGCCTGCAGGCAGTGGACACGATGGCCTGTGGCTGCTACCTGGGATTCATCTGGTGGCTCTTGGCTTGCACCTTCTTTTCAGATATTTGTGTTAGTGTGGTCACTTTGGGAATCAATCCTGTCTGCCTCCTAGCTGCTGGGATGACAGATGTGGACTTTACTGCTTATCGTACAAGGTTTTAAAAATGGATGTCCTTCTATTTTTGCATATTGATCATTTTAAGAAATAACTGCCTAAGCAACCCAGTCAGTTTCCTACTAATTTGATAAGGGCAGAAGCTGGCATTTATAGTCTCATGGACTCCCAAGGACCTTGTGAGGGGTCAGGCTCTTTCCAAAAGTGATGTCTAACACCCAAGGAGCAGCAGAGAAATGGGGGTGCTGAGGACTGGGCAGCCAGGCAAAAGGTTACACACAAGGACGGAGCAGGGCTACTAGCAACTGGAAGGGGAGTGGGATGAGGGCCACTGGGGCCTGGCTCTGCCCCCCGTACCCAACACTGCTGCATGCGGCCTGGCCCTGCCCCTGTGCCCAACACCGCTGCATGCAGCCTGCCCCACCCCCCCAACCTCCTGGTGCCCAACACTGCTGCATGTGGGCTGGGCCACCCCGGCAGCCTGCACATTGTTCTCTTTTTCAGGGCAGAAGGCTCCTCACTGGGTCTGAATACAAATATAGCCATAGCTAGATGTCTAACTGTGGCCTTTGCTGGTAACAGGTCACTAAACAATACCGCATAGTTTCCTCCAGACCATGTATATATGTTGTGTATGAAATGTACTGAATTTCATGCTTAGACCTGACTTCTATCACTAAGAGAGCTCATTATGGATATGCAAATATTCTAAAATCTGAAGACAAAAAAAGTGCAATCCAGAACACTTCTGTCCCAAGTATTCTGGATAAGGGACACTGAACCTACAGCCACTTGTGTTATCTCATGGAACATATGACAACAGGTTTGTAGACAAGCTGCCTAGGCAAGAGGAATTCTATCTGGGTAAGGACTTGCTGTAAACGTTTCTTCTTTCATACTCTGTGCATAAACCAGAAGATGCTATGAAAGATAATTACACATCACCAGGTATTCCAGAGATCTATGCCGCTGGTAGGTGCTGCAGGGAATACCTGCATAGAAAAATACAATACACGTCTCTGCCCTCGAGAAGATTAAAATCTCAGTGGGAGACTGTATAACAACATGACAAGTTAAACAGCGAAAGCTTTAAAATAACCAGTTAAAGAGAATAATGGATGTCACAAAGCATTCCATGATTAACTGTCAAATGAGTCATGCAGATAATTGTTAAGAATCCAAAAGATGGGGAAGAATGAATTGGTTGCATATATTTACAGTTCCTCATGTTAACTTAGATGAAATAAATTTTAATTAATGAAGACCCACATTTCTCACTTGTAAATGCAAAAAAACCCATATGCTTGCTCCTCAAAGAGCTAAACACAGAGCTATATATGACCGAGCAATTCCATTACTAGGGATGAAATCAGGGGCTCAGCAAGGTACTGTTCAGTATAGTAATGTTCATGGCAGCATTATCCATAGTAGTTAAAAGGTGGAAACAATTTAAGCATCCACCCACTGAGGAATGGCTACCCATGCAGTGGAGAGCATCCAGTTTACCAGCTGCCACAGTATGGAAGGGCCTGGAAAACATCAAGGGAAATTAACCAGAAACCAGTAAGATATGAGGCATCTGGAATAGGTGAGTTCATACAAACAGAATGTGTGCAGGGGCAGGGGGCAGAGGAAAAGGGGGGTTGTTGGCAATAGATATGGAATTTCTAATGGTGGGGGTGATAAGAAAGTTTTACAAATCTGTAATGGTGATGGCTGTACAACATTATGAGTATAATTAATGTTGCCTGAATTGTGTGCTTAAAAAGGTAAACTTTATGTCATATATTTAACCATACTCTCAAAAATGAATATATAAAATGGAACTGAATGATGGGGAAATTATACAGCACATGAATGATACCTCAATTTGAAAAAGCCCACTGGCTCATTCATTCAGACACAGAAAAGGAAATGGGATTCAGTGTCGGGCGCTCAGAGCTGCACAGCTGCAGCAGGGCTGGCTGCAGACATCAGGCAGGGGCAGCCGAGAGTGGGCACAGGAGTTAGAAAGTGGGGCTCTAGGCAAAGTCCCTGAGCCCACAAGGGATTTGAGACAAATAAGATCCAAGGGAAGCTGTAGAGTGCAGAGGACGGAGCGTCAGGAAGAAGGGAAGAAAGAGGAGCTGCCTTAGAAAGGGAAGGCCTGGGGACACTGCAGCTGCACACGGTGCTCCTCAGCCTTCTCACAAACAGCGGATGTGTCCTGTTGCAGGTGTACGTCCTGTGGGTAGGGCTCCGGTCCTAGCTCTGCGCTCCCTTGGGCAGCAGGCCGAGTAACCTGTAATATCCGGCCAGTGTCAACCCACGCAAAACCTTCTGGGCAGCGGAGTGATTGGCAGGTCCAGTGTGAAGAGACCTAAAATAGCATTTGGTCCACTACTCATCTGCAGAGAAATCAGATGTGTCTAGTAAGTGCACCTCACAGGCAAACCTGGATCTGACCAACTTCTGTGGCTCATACTTCATTAGGTTCTGAGCAGTTAAAAAAATGAGCAAGTTAAACAAGCAAAATATACTATATTAATTTTTTTTCAAACTGTAACCTTATCTCAAATACAAATTGGGATCATTGGGAATTCTTGCCTCAAATTCAGAAATTGTGGAGAGGCCGGGCGTGGTGGCCCACACCTGTAATCCCAGCCTTGGGAAGCTGAAGCAGGAGTATCAGCCAGCCTGAAATACACAGTGAGACCCTGTCTCAAAAAGATCAAAGCATAAACAAACTAACTGTGGAGAAGCCAGTTTAACTGGAACTTGTAAAGGAATAACAGGGCCGCTTCATGAATCCGTCAGTACAATGTCACGGAAGAATGGCTTTGCAGCTTGGCCTCGCTGACTTGTGGGAATTTAAGTACAGCTCCTTAACGGAAACTCAAGCAGCAGTGAGTCCATTCACTCATCCAAGACTTCTTGGTCTTGATGTCAGTTTCGTGACAGCGTCTTGTTATGCGCTAAGAGGGTGGGGACCTCTGTAAAAGACCTGGTGCCTACTGAGCAGACGAGAACAGCAGGGCTTAATGTTGACTTACCTCTTTGGATTTGCATGCGCCTGGGTTGGGAAAGGTGAATTATTTGATCGCTCTGCTTCTAATCTCTTCTATTGTTAGAAATCGCTGCGCTCTACCTAAACACTGTATGCAGATTAGAGAACAGTGGGAAGCTGCCAAATGAGTCACATTAGAAAGGAGCACACATTCGAGATTGCTACTGTGATTCTTCAGGCTTATATGCCATTCTACTGGGATTTGTCTACTACTGCATCTAATTATTATTGATAGCTTATCAATCCCACTATGAGTTGGTTAGTGGAAGCAAAAGAGACAGTGATAGGAGTAGACTGAGAAATATTTGCTCAAATGGCCCCGACAGGCATCACTTCTGAATAAGGAGCAAAGCTGCACACGCTCACAACTGCATTGTGTTGTCATGGCAATAGATGATTTTCATCATTTTAAGATGATGAAAAGAAGCAAGGAGCTAAGAAGGAAAGAAATCAGCCCCAATGGAGAAAACAATGTCAGAGGATCAGATACAAATTCATAGCCACCATCCCTGCAGGGTCCCATCTAGAATATTTCGATTTCTATTGCTAATCTCAATCAATTTCATCCTTCAAGACTAAGGTCAAACCTCATCTCCTCCAATAAACTTTCCATGACTTCTTTCACTCCTGATTCCACACTGAAAAATGCTATACATATGAAAACCACTGCTCTGCTCTTACGACACAGACTGCCACGTACGGGCGACATTTGCTGGAGCATGTGAAGTGGTGCATGCGGATAATCACTTGCAGTCTCTGCAGCAGGACTATGCAGTAAAAAAAAAAAACAACTTCTACTGTCATTATTAAAGACCACACACTGTGGACACAAAGCTTGAGTCACTGGTTGGGTGTGTGGCAGTGAGAACTGGGCGCAGCACTTGCATGCTTAACTACAATGCTACCCCGCCCCAGGCCTCCCAGGCAAGGCGCCCCACAAACAGAGTCCCCCACACCAGGAAATCGCAGAGTACATTTTTGGTTTTTTGAGACAGAGTCTCATTCTGTAGTCCTCCGTGGCCCTGAACTCATTGCGTAGCCCAGGCTGGCCTTCAGCTCGCAGTAATCCTCCTCCTTTAGCCACCTGAGTGCTGAGATTTTAGGCATGCACCACTACACCTGGCAGATGGCCTGGAACCTTTTTTTTCTTTTTCATGTGAGGAGAGGGACTGGCAGTCACTGTCTCCAGGTCACTGGGTTCCTTCTGCTGTCCTATGGAGCTCTTGATTTAAAGCATTGATGATGAAAACCCAACACCTTTTAACG